GCTGAAGGCAGACATTTAACTGACTGAGCCACCCAGGCAACCCCCAAATATATACCTCTTAAATCTCTTTTAATCTATATGGTCTTCCCCTAATACCCTCCCTCCTTTTTTCCTGCATTTAGAGTGCATTTATTGAAGAAAATGGGTCATTTTTCTTGTAGAGTTTTCCAGAATCTAGTTTTTTCCAATTGCTTCCTATGATGCAATTTAACAAATTCCACTGTCCTCTATAATTCCTGTGAATCAGAAGTTGAATCTAGAAGCCTGATCAGATTCAGGTTTATTTTGGCAAAACTTTTCATGAGTGGTTATGGGTACTTCCGTCTGGAGGCACATACTATTCAGCTGTCTCTCTTTAGTGATATTTGCCACCACTGACATCACCTTTAGATTCATTAGGGGTTGCAAAATGCTTATGTTTTAATTCTTTATTTTCTTCTTCGTTAGCTGGAATACCAGGGTTTTGTTTAGAGAGACGTGTTTAATTGTAAAGTTTGGCACACTCCAGCACCAGGTATGGCCTTAAGTTGAAGCAGCAGGATTTGAATATTACGCAGCGACCCCCATTCAGCCTCACACGGCGAAGAGGATCAAAAAGGCGACCATCAAACAGAAGAGCCCCATGGCCTCAGACAGGGCAAAGCCCAGAATGGCAAAGGAGAGCTGCTGCTTGAGACGGGCTCCTGGCACAGCCAATAATCAAGCTGCCGAACACTGTTCCAATGCCAGCCCCCCTGAACCAGCCATACCAGCTGTGGCAGCCCCAGGAGCCACCACCAGTCTGGAACGTGCATCAGGCCACCTGGCATGGGGAACTGCTGCAGGATGGCTGTTTAGATGGGATCTCTGGCCTACTCAAGAAGGAGGCAGACATAGGCCTGATTAGACCCCCCAGTACAACAGTGGATCAGAGCCGGAAGGATGAGTACTGTCCCAGGGGTCTGCATTTTCAGTCTGCACTCCCACTGCCCCGCTGCCCCTGCTCCCGCCACAGTGCTTGCCCTGCTCAAGGTGACTGGAATACCAGATTCTTTTTTTTTTTTTTTTTAAAGATTTTATTTATTTAT